GAAATCCACAAAAATATACTTATGTTTTGGGGCTGGAACTACTGGAGCTTGTGGAGTTGTTGAACTAGGGTTTTTGAGCTTTTTTTGTCCTCTCTTGCTTCTAATTTTCTAAGTTTTAATTTAATGATTTGACTTGGATATGTTTTAATTATGTTTCTAGGCTTCAACTGACTAAAATCTGATGATTTAGGGTCAGAACGACGTAACTTAGGGTTTAAATGGAGTGGGAAAGGTCAGAAAGATCCCTGGGAAGGTTGTTGTCGGGCCTCACGATGGCCAGGATTGACGGTCTGTCGTGCGCCCAATGCCCTGTTGTTGGGTCCGCCGTGAGGGCCTTTTACTAAAATGGGTATAACTTTTTACTCGAACGTCTGATTTTATCAAGGTTGGTTGATATGGAAGGATAATTTAATTATTTATATGTGGGTAGGTCATAGGAGACATAATTAATTTTGTGCTAAGAGTTATGATCATTTTAAATTGACCAAACTACATTTACCTTTAACTGGCTACAAATTTTCCACCTACGGTCAGACCTACGGCCTATAGGTCCACCTACGAATCATGCTGGTAATCCATATCTCTTGTAATAGAGTGGTTGAAGGGAGTCTTGATCGATGGTCATGGACTATAGACCGTCGTTTGACCTATGGACCGTAAGTCCGTCCGTCATCCAATACTTAACCAATTTTTCTAGGCTAAAATTTTTGGGAGTTTCTGATCCCATCGATGGTTGCGCAGGACGGACCTTTGTTCAGGCTACGGTCCGTCGATTCTACCATTGGTAGCACCTTCAAATTTTTCTGAAAAACTAATTGTTGGTCTGTTTTGGCTACGGGGTTTTACATTACCTCCCCCTTGCGAATATTCATCCTCGAATGAAGACTAAACTAGCTGAAATAGAGGGAGAGAGATGCAAATCCCACTACTAAACACTGAGAACTGAGTTCTGACTGAATTGAGTTCTGAGTACATACAATTACGCTAAAAATGAAAGTACAAACTGAGGGAACATGATTCTAAAATTGAATTTAAGCATGAATGACTCTAAAACTGAAGAGGAACTATTACCTCAAGATGGAGTGGAATCGGAAGGAAAAAGTAAGGATACTTGGTTTTCATGACTGCTTCTGCTAATGAAGTAGATCCTTCTACGGACTGACTCCTCCACAAAACCTTGACTGAAGCGACTTCTTTATTTCTCAACCTTCTAACCTGACGGTCAAGAATCTCAACTGGCACTTCCTCATAAGAAAAACTATCTTTTACCGCCACACTATCTAATGGCACTATAGAAACTTGGTCACCCACACACTTCTTGAAGAGTGAGATATGGAAGACCGGATGTACTGCTTCTAATTATGCTGGCAACTCTAAGTCATATGACACCTTGCCAATCCTTTCAAACATCTTGTAAGGGCCTACATGTATAGGACTGAGCTTCCCTTTCTTTCCATATCTCATCACCCTTTTCATAGGTGAGACTTTCAGAAAAACCCAATCATCAACTTGGAACTCTAGTTCCCTTCGACTTACATCTGCATAAGATTTCTGATGACTTTTGGCTATCTTAAGTCTATCTCTAATGAGTTTCACTTTCTCCATAGCATAAAATACTGAATCTGGCCCTATCAAAGTTGCTTCACCTACTTCAAACAAACCAATAAGAGATCTACATCTATGCCCATTTAAAGCCTCATAAGGATCCATCTGAATGCTTGAATGGTAGCTATTATTGTAGGCAAACTCAATAAGAGGTAGGTGATCATCCCAACTACCTTTGAAATCAATCACACAAGCTCTCAACATATCCTCGAAGGTCTGAATGGTACGCTCTGCCTGCCCATCCGTCTGTGGATGAAATGTTATACTAAGGTTAACTTGAGTACCAATACCTTTTTGAAATGACTTACAGAAATGAGAGGTAAACTAAGGACCTCTATTTGTGATGATAGAAAAAGGAAACCCATACAACCTTCACAATTTCAGTAAGGTAAAGCTTGGAAGAGTCCTCTGCTGAATATGTAGTCTTGACCGCCAAAAAGCGAGAAGACTTAGTCATCCTACAAACTATCACCCAAATTGAGTCATGATGTCTTCGAGTACGAGGTAACCCTGTGATGAAATCCATATTGATCACATCCCACTTCCAAGTAGGAATATCGATCTCTTGAGTCATACCTCCTGGTTTCTGATGTTGTACCTTCACTTGCTGGCAATTAGGGCACTTACTAACAGAGTCTGCTATATCCCTCTTCATGCCATTCCACCAATAGACTTCCCGTTGATCACGATACATCTTAGTGGCACCTGGATGAATAAAATACCTGGAGTTATGGGCTTTTGCAAGAATACGCGGACTCAACTCTCCCACATCAAGAACACACAATCTACCTTAGTAGCAAAGTACACCATCTCCCCCTTGGGAGAAAATGTCCACTCTCTGATTGTTGACTGCACCCTTTAGTTCAAGCAATATCGGATCACTATCTTGCTTTTCCTTAACCTCCACTACCAAAGACGATTCTGCCCCATTCTGAACTGTTACACCATTGTCGGATATGGTTATAAGGAGGACTCCCAAGCGAGCAAGCCTGTGAACATCCATTACTAGCTCCTTTTTTTCCTCAACAAGGACTACATTACCCATAGATAATCTACGAAGAGCATCGGCCACTACATTTTCCTTTCAGGATGATAATGCACACTCATATTATTATCCTTAAGGTACTCAAGCCATCTCCTCTGGTGAAGATTCAACTCTTTATGGGTGAAAACATACTGAAGGCTCTTATGATCGGTGAAAACATCTACATGAACACCATACAAGTAGTGTCTCCATATCTTGAGTGTAAATACTACTTCTGCAAGCTCGAGGTAATGAGTTGGATAGTTATTCTCTTGTACCTTAAGCTTTCTAGAGGCATAAGATATAACCTTATGTCTTTGCATCAACACACAACCAAAGCCAACTCTTCCTGCATCACAATAGATCACATAACCATCTGAACCCTCTGGCAGAGTCAAGACTGGAGCTGTAGTCAATCTAGTTGTCAATTCTGCAATGTTTTTCTCACAATCATCTGACAATTGCAGCTAGACCATTTTCTGAGTCAACCTAGTCAATAGTGAGTCTATGGACTAAAGTCCTTCCACGAACCTACTGTAATAACCTGTTAGACCTAAGAAACTTCTGATATCGATAGAACAGGTAGGTCTTGTCCATTGTTTCACTGCTTCTATCTTTTATGAATCTACACGGATCCCTTCGCTAGATACAATGTGACCAAGGAAAGCAACGAATTGCAACCAAAGCTCACATTTACTAAACTTAGCGAATAACTGGCAATATTTGAGAGTCTACAGAACAACTCTCTAATGAATTTCATACTCTTCCTCACTCCTAGAGCAAATGAGGATATCATCAATGAAGACGATAACGAACAAGTCTAAGTACTGTTTGAACACTCTGTTCATCAACTCCATGTTGGAGCATTGGTTTGTCCAAACGACATAACTACAAATTCATAATGACCATATCGAGTTCTGAAGTTTGTTTTTTGGAATGTCACTATCTCTGAATCTAAGCTGATGATAACCCCATCTGAGGTCTATCTTTGAGAAATGACTAGCACATTGAAGTTGGTCAAACAAGTTATCAATCCTGGGGATGGGATACAGTCTATAGTAAATTCACATTCTGAGAGAACCATCTTTCTTCTTTACGAACAATACTGGTGCACCCCATGGAAAAATATTAGGTCTGATGAAACCCTAATCTAGAAGGTCTTTCAACTGCTTTTTCAATTCCTTAAGCTATGCTGGAGCCATTTTGTAAGGAGGAATGTAAATAGGCTGGGTTTCTGGAAGGAGATCAATTCCAAAGTCAATTTCGTTTCGGGAGGAACCCAGGAAGATCTTTTGGAAATACTTCTAGAAATTCAAACACTACTAGAACTGACTCAAGAGATGGCATTTAAAGGCTAGAATTCTTAGCCTGAACTAGATGATAGATATAACCCTTAGATATCATCTTTCTATCCAAGAAATAAATCGACCCATAGGCGCTAGGCTACTACCCTTCCATTCTAAGATTGGTTCGTCTGGAAATTAAAAACAAACAATCCTAGCTCTACAATCGACTGAGGCATAACATGAGTGTAACTAATCAATTCCTAGAATGACATCAAAGTCTACCATTTTTAACTCTACTAGATCTGTTGAGGGGTGAAGAATGACATCGAAGTCTACCATTTTTAACTCTACTAGATCTGTTGAGGGGTGACTTTCTGAGAGACTATGACCGAGCAATTTTTGTGTACCCGATTAGCTATAACTTGGTCAGCGACTGGAGTATAGACTGAGATGGGTTCTGAGAGAGTTTCTGGACTGACACTAAATTGGATTGCTATATAAGGAGTTAGAAAATAAAGTATAGCCCCTGGATCTAACAATGCATAAACATCAAGGTCAAAGACTAGTAATGTACTAGTGACTACATAAGGAGAACCTTCCTGATCCTGGCAAGCCTGAAGAGCATAAAGTCTTTTCTGGCGCTGACCTCCACATGTACCAGATGAGTTGCCCTGCTGAGTTGGGCGACTTGATGGTGCTGCTGAATTTGTAGATTGAGCTCTACCATTACCACCTCCTTGACCCTGTCTAGAAGGACACTCCCTCAAGCCGTGACAAGACGACAACATTCAAAACATCCTTCTTTTCCTGCAAGACACACGCCCGGATGGTTCTTACCACACTTAGGGCAAGTGGGGTAAGTGTTGGTGCCTGAAACTCTTCCCTGAGACTTAGAGCCTGGTGCTCTGCCCTTCTGGTCCTACCTATTCTTCGAGGATGGAACACTAGATGAGGAAGGGGCCGGAGCTGAAAATTTCTGCTGACTATGCGAGCGATTTCCAACACCCAATTTCTGTTGAGAATAGTCATTGTTCCCAATCCTATCCTTCTTATTTTCTTTAGCCTATTCCCTAAGCTTATCACCCTTAACCTGGTGAGAATGAGTCATAAGCCTTGAGATGTTCATATCTCCCAGCAACATAGCATTTCTTCACTCTATCTTTACCAAATCTGATACTCCATACAAGAACTTATTCATGTGAGCCCTGGAGTCAGCAACCATGTGAGGAGCATACCTGTAGAGTTGGTTAAACTTCAGCCCATACTGTTGGACTGTCATGTTTCCCTGCCTCAAGTTCATGAATTCTTGGGCCTTTTCTTCTCTCAAATCCATTAGGAAAAACTTGTCAAGAAATATCTCACTGAAGCACTCCCTAGTAATAGGAGCTGTATTTGCACCCCTCTTATTATTCCACTGAGTGTACCACATATGAGCCACATCTTTCAGCTGGTATGACGCCAACTCAACCCGATAATTCCCAGTAACCTGCATCACCTCAAATATTTTCTTGATTTCGTCCAAGAAATTCTGAGGATCTTCATTAGTCTGCGATCCTAAGAACTCAGGCGGATTCATCCTAAAAAAGAGACGGACCCTTGCTGCTGCTAATCCACTATTTTCAATCATAGGATCATGAACCCGATTGTAATGGTGGGTCATACCGTGAGCCAACATCTGTATGGCATTCCTGAACTCAGCACTGCAGTCTTCTTAATATGGGATTGGAGAAGTTGCATTTGCATTCCTGGCATTCGCATTCCTAGCATTAGCTTTACTAGGAGGCATGATCTGAAACGTAGAACATCAAGTTAGAATGGAATAAGATCATACCTTACGCACGATAAGAGTAACAAGAAAGTGAAGTTTTTTTAAAACACTTTATAGCCTCCCTAACAATAGACGTGGTGCACTTCACACCCATGAAAATGAATCTACTTAGTGCAGCTTTTTCAGACATCTTAGGACTCTTGAATCTAGTGATCTGATACCAAGTTTTGTTATGCCCCGAGATACCCCAAGACGCGAACATGGAACCTAGGACCACAAGTTATCCCAAGCTAACCCTGATGGCATGATCATGAGCATACTTAAGTTAATAAACTGTTGCAGAAGATAAATCATACTTAAAATGAAAAGACGGGGAATACCCATATCCTATAACTGAGATATTTGAAAACAATGAGTTTAATACAAAAGAAATATTAACTCAATACTAAGTTGAATCTAACTATGTCTAAAAATATCCTCTAAACTAAACTAGATATACTGGGACAAGCCCCAGCTAATTCTAGCAAAAACTGAAACTAAATGACTAAAGAATGAAATGAAAATCATGAATGTTGTCCTCGGAGAATGAGGACTCATCATAGAATCTGTTGAATTGGAGATCAGGAAATCGATCTATGCGTGATCTGGATGTTGAGAACCTGAACCTACATCACGAGAAGATATAGCGCACGTATGCGTCAGTACTTGAAAGGTTCTGAGGATGTAGGATAGAGTAAAGCTGAAATGAAACATAACTGAACAAGCACAAAAACAAGTATAATAATCTGAACGTGATGTGCTGAATTCTGAGCTAACTAGATTCAATGACCAATTTATAACATGTTGAAACTGAATACTACATATACTGATCAATGGTCAATGCAAAGAGTCTGACTGAACTGTAGGAGCAACTAATAACCGATAATAAAACCACATGAGCTAAATGTGGAGTCCGATGTATACGCCCCATCGAGAGGACCCAATATACTCGCTTAAAGGTATAAAGGCATGCTGGCATGATCACTAAACTGATTGCCCATAGAGGGGACTTACAACCTACTTGGCTAGTAGTTTTAGGACTATTGGGTACGCTAAACCCTAGTCAAACTCGGTATTATGCTACTCCTAATGAATTCTGTAAATTAACTATTTATATCTGAATTTCTGTACATACTGGATAGCTCAAAACATAACATGCAAACTGAGAATGAAACAATTAATCTGGTAATTATGCATTTATAACTGAGGCATGCATATATGAAGTGTCTAAAATATATAACCTAGCATGTGTAATTCAAGAAATAGAGAAATTTAAAGCTAGGGTTCTGAAATTCATGCAATGCATTTATAACTGAGGCATGTATATCTGAAGTGTCTAAAATATATGACCTAGCATGTGTAATTCAAGAAATAAAGAAATACAAAGCTAGGGTTCTAAAATTCATGCGATAATCTGAGTAATAACATGATAATATGATTTTGAACATATATTTAATGAATTCACGATGTTATATCAAAGTTCTAGAAATCCTAGGTTTAACTATGATAAGAGATTTAAGAACTGACTGAAACAAAGGAACCAATGGGTGAAAGGAACCTTCTAGTGAAATCCCACATTCCTGGTGATGAAATAAACGGAAAAATACTTAAGTTTTGGGGCTGGAACAGTTGGAGCTTGTGGAGTTCTTGAACTAGTATTTTTGAGCTTTTTTTCTCCTCTCTTGCTTCTAATTTTCTATGTTTTGATTGAATGATTTGACTTGAATATGTTTTAATTTATGCTTCTAGGCTTAAACTGACTAAAATATGATGATTTATGGTCAAAACGACGTAACTTAGGGTTTAAACGTAGTGGGAAAGGTCAGAAATACCCCTGGGAAGGTTCCTCTAGGGCCTCACGACGGCCAAGACTGACGGTCCGTCGTGCGCCCGATGCCCCGTCGCTGGGTCTGTCGTGAGGGCCTGTTGGACAGACCTTTACTAAAATGGGCATAACTTTTTACTCGATGGTCTGATTTTAAAAAGGGCGGTGTCTATGGAAATATAATTCAATTTTTTATTTGTGGGTAGGTGATGGGAGACCTAATTAATTTTGTGCTAAGAGTTATGATCATTTTAAGTTGACCCACCTAGATTTCCCTTTAACTGGCTCCAAAATTTCCACCTACGGTCAGACCTACGGGTTCTAGGTCCACCTACGAACCATGCTGGTCATCCATAGCTCTTGTCAGAGAGTGGTTGAAGGGAGTCTTGATCGACGGTCACGAACTACGGACCGTCATTTGTTCTACTGACCATAAGTCCGTCTGTCGTCCAAGACTTAACCAATTTTTCTAGGCTGAAATTTTTGGGAGTCTCTTATCCCATCGACGGTTGTGCAGAGCGCACCATGGTTTAGGATACGGTCTGTCGATGCCACCATTGGTAGCACCTGCATATTTTTCTGAAAAACTAATTTTTGATCTTTTTTGGCTACTGCGTGTTATGTAGTAGATATGAAATGTATAATATATAAAACATGAAAACATTAAATAATAACCCATAACTTCCTTAACATGAAAGTAATGAAATCAATGGAATGATCAATAGAGAATGACTTGTGAAATGTAATTAATATATAGTGTAATGAATGAGTTGCTATAAGAATAGTCAAAGCATGTCCAATGAAGTTAACAATAAATAAAAGGTAAAGCTAATAATGAATCTTCATGTCATGAAAACGAACAAAGCCAAATAAAATTGTCTTATAATGGCTTCCTTTATTACGAAAATATCAAAGATAATAATGAATTCAAATATACTTATCCAAAATGATTAACTAATGTATTTAGCCAATAAAGATTGCCTTATAAAGAATGCTTGCCCAAATTAAGCAAGACCATAAGATTTAATGATATACCCCAAGACTATGCACATTATGCAATCAACTAAAGAATGAGTATAGTAAATAAGTATTGACTTATAAATGTATTCATGCCCCAAATTGTAGTTAAGTCATTTCCTTAATCTGTTGAATTAATTACTTGATTCATTGTGGGTATGGTACTACAATTAATCATTGCACTTATAAGTAAAACATAAGACCAAAGGAGTTATTGAACTACACAACAACAAGAAGAAAAAGACTACAAAATATTATAAGTGTACAAAGAGGAACTCTCGGCCTTAGAGGATCAAAATCTCAAATCTTCGTCCGAGTTGTTTTTAAATTATTTTGATGATAATAATGTATTTTAATCATATAGAAAATGAGTTGTGTTCTTATAATGAATTAATATACATCATATTCATACCACAATTTACAACTAATGATTTTGGAAAGTCTAGTGAATAGGCTTTCCAGAAATAGCATGTTGTTTAGGAAGAACTTTCTTTGATCATGCATAGCCTTATGTGTATGTGTGAATACACCCATACTTAGTACAAGTGATGTACTAACCCCTACTATTTACTATTTTATAGATGCAGGTTAAGGGACAGATTGACGACTCTTGCAACGGTTTGGACATCAGTGTTTCTCCAGACCATTAGGTAGATCCTCTTGATTTTGAGGATTCTAGAGTTTTATTCTAGCCTTAGTTTTAGAAAAATCTAGTGGATGTTGTCCCTAGATTTTATTTCGTACTTTTCTGTCGAAGATTTAGTAATAAGGCCGTGTTTGGCAAACGTATTTATGATATATTCTTATTCTGTTTTGAATTGATTCTTATGATAGATGGTTGTTACATTTATGTTGAGCTTAGTATATGATGAATTCATGAAATTAATATACGAAGTCTATAGATTCTTCATACGTTTAAAAGTTTTAAATTTTCCGCTAAAATTAACTATATGAATCTGATGAATGCAAGATGAGGTTGTCTGCGACCTCTGAGAGGTCAATGACGTCGGTTGCGATTCGGATTCCAGAATCCGGGTCATGACAAACATTCATACCTTAGAAGAAATTCTCAGAGCTTGCTTATTCGACTTCAAGGGTACTTGGGATGATCACCTTCCTCTAATAGAGTTTCCCTATAATAATAGTTATGTTTCTAACATTGAAATGTCTCCTTACGAGGCATTATATGGGCATAGATGTAGATCTCTAGTTACTCCATTTGAAATAGGTGAAGAAGACTTGATTGGACCAGATCGCTTCATGATGTCATGAAAAAAGTTAAGCTCATTAGAGATAGACTTATGAAAGCCCACAATTGCCAGAAGTCCTATGCAGACGTAAGGAGAAGGAACAGGGAGTTCCAAATTGATGATTTAGTTTTTTTCAAGAAACTGTCACTATGATAGGGGTGATGAGATTTTTCAAGAAGTAAACCTCAATCTTAAATATATAGGCCCTTAATAGATCATGAAAAGGGTTGGCGACGTGTCTTATTAGTTAGAGTTGCCAGTAGAACTAGAAGTAGTCCATCTAGTTTTTCACATTTACTTGTACCTTAAGGAAGTGTAGATTTGAAGGATATTCCCACTCATGAAGAGGTACTAGTTGAAATTCATGATTATCAGGTTCGAAGGTTGTAAAAGAAAAGAGGCTGCTTTAGTTAAGGTTTTCTGGATGATTAGTATATAAAGGGAACATCTTGTGAAGCAGAACCAGCCATGAAAGCTAAGTATCCTTACCTAGTTCATTCCAATTCTATTCCATTTTGAGGTAATAGTCCTTTTACAAGTTGTTCAGTGAATCATGTGTACAATTAGACTTACTATCTTGTTCCATCATTTATCCTAAAAGTTTCAGCGCATTTGGATGTTTTTGGAAGTTAGTTTAGTGAGATTTCATTGCTTAGTTTTAGGGTTTGCAACCTTTCCCTCCATACTCAGCTAGCTTAGGCTACATTTGAGGATGAATGTTCCCAAGGGGGAGATATTGTAACACAAACTTAGAATGTTTATAAATAAAACTAGCA